TCTTCTAGATTTATTATGTTTTATTTTTTTATGGTTTAGTCTTTATCTGAGATTTATTTTTGTTTAAGTTGCAAGAGAGAGGTCCACCTATGTTTTCTTCCAGATGAATAACCAACTTGGTCTATGTTGTTTAAAACTGTTCATTCCTTTTTTAGCTGAACTAAAATAAAATTTCTGATATATATTTAATCCTCAAATTTAGAGAAATCTGGTTGTGGATTTTCTGTTTATTACATGGACTACCCAGTGAATACGTTGGTGCCATTATGATATTATTTTGATTACAATAGAGTATTAAAGTTCTAATATTTGTTAAGACATGCAATCCTTTATTCTTCTTCTTCATCTTTTTCCTAGTTGCTTCAGGGCTTTCCCCCCCCTCTCTTAGATCTAAACTTTAAGGTAAGTGGATCTAATTCTTAAAAGTCTCTCAGTTCTGTTTTAATTGTATTAAATCTATATATTAATTTTTGGATTCTTTTGGTGGTTTTGAAATCTTCCCATTCAGGAATGTCATACTTCTTTGCATTTATTCAAAGAGATATTGACTTCTGTATATTTATATTATTCAGGTCTTTGATAACTTCATTAAATTTAGTGATAGTTTACTAGAGTCACTTTGGTTTATAAGGCACAGAATCCTATAATCAGCAAATAAAGGGGGGCCTGTGTGGCTCAGTTGGTTAAGCGTCCAACTCTTGATTTCGTCTCAGGTCATGGTCTCATGGTTTGTGAGTTCAAGCTGTGCATTGGGCTCTGCACTGACAGTGGGAAGCCTGCTTTGGATTCTCTCTCCCCCCCCACCCCCCCCCCCCCTGCTCCTCCCATACTCATGCTCTCTCTCTCTCTTTCTCTCTTTCTCTGTCTCTGTCTCTCTCTCTCAAAAAACAAAACAAAACAAAACACAAAAGGCTATTATCTCTTTTTTCCCCAATATTTATACCTGTTATTTTATCTTCTTGCTGTATTTCATTTTTTTGAACTGCCAAGTTACTATTAAACTAAAGATGATAAAAGTCACCTCAGTATAGCTCCCAACTTAAAATGGGCTTAGTGTTTCATAATTTAGGTAATTATTTTTCAGTCATTGGTAAATAAACTTTATCATATTTGATTCATTGGTGTGTATTCTATTTTTATTTAGCTTTTATGTCAGAGATAGCTACTTAGTTTTATCTAAGGCCCTTTCAGCAAACATTGATATTATCATGTGCTTTTTCTTCTTTAATTTAATGATATGATGAATTTATAATTTTAGATTTCCTGATATTAAGTCACTCTTGAATTCCTATAATATACTTTAGTTGATCATGTGGTATTATTATTCTTTGCTGCATTGTTGGATTACATTGCTAAGATGTTTTTTCATCATTTCATCCTTACTCATGAATCATACTGGTCTACAGTTTTCTCCTATGTGGTTTGCACAAGCTGTACTTTAAAAATATCTGTTAAAAATATTTCACTAATGGTTTTGTTAATCAAGTACAGAGTCAAATTTTATGAATGCAAGTATTCATCCAACAAATATTGATCAAGCTCAGTTCCAAACCAGCTTTTTTTCTAGGTGCTGGTGACATAGCAGTCAACAGCACAGATATATACCTTGCTTTGTGGGGTTTATATTTTAATGAAATGACAATATTCCATTGAGACATAAAGATATCATTAAGTTTAATTATTTCATTTAATTCCTCTCTGTCCATATTTATTTTTTTGTGTACCAGGGTGTTCAACTCTGAAAAGGTTCACTACTATTTTAATTTACCAAGCTCTGCTTCATTTGTAATATATTTGTTTCTTATTTTAGGTGCGGTGTTTTTTGATGCCTATAGATTTATAACTGTTAGATTATGTAATTGTACTACATGATATTCTCTCTATATTAGATTAGTCTTTATTAATGTTAACATTGCTGCTGCCTTTTCTTTTGTTTGCTTGTATTAATCTCTTATAAAGTGATTTTCAGGCTTGGTTTCTTTTATTTGGGTAAATGTAGTTGGGTTTTGTTTTATCCCCTGATATGACCATCTCTCTTTTTTAATGTGAGAATTTGGTTTTGCCATATTTAGTATTATGACTATGTAGTTGATGTTATTTCTTTTATGCATTTATTTATTCACTTATTCAGCACACATATGTTAAGTGCCTCCTATGTATCAATGTATTCAGCAATGAATACAACAGATAAAATCCCAAACTTGTGATATTTACATTGTAGTTGGGAGCCTAAAAATAATAAATATAATAAAAATCAGAAAAATATTGAGTATATTAGAAGGTGAAAGAAGTTATGCAGAAAAAAAACACAGTAAGATTATGGGCAACATTAAGAAGGTTATAATTTTAAATAGAGTGGGCAGAGTGGGTCCCCCTGAGAAAAAGACACTTGAGAACAGAATTGAAGAAGATGAGGAGGTGAATCAAGTGGGATCTGAGAGTATAGTTTTCTAGGCAGAAGAAATGGCATTCCGTCAGATTTTAGTGTGTCTGGCATGTTCAAGTTACACATCAGGATAGCTAATGTGGTGGGTTTGGTAGAGAAGGAGATGAAAGGAAGACTGTGAGGCTCAGAGAAGCTTGATAATTATTGAAAATTATTTTTTTTAATGTTTATTTATTTATTTTTGAGAGAGAGCCCAATTTGGGAAGGGACAGAGAGAGAGGGAGACAGAATCCCAAGCAGGCCCCTGGCTCTGAGCTGTCAGCACAGAGCCTGATGTGGGGCTCGAAACCATGAATTATGAGATCATGACCTGAGCCGAAGTCGGCTGCCTAACTGACTGAGCCACCAAGGCAACTGATAATCATTTAAAAAGGAATAAATTAGGAAGCCATTGACAATTAAAGAAATGTATTTAACACATTTATAGAGGTATATATTTGCATACAATGAAATGTACTCTGATGAGTTTTAAAACATTTATATATTTGTATAAATACCACCATTATAAATATATAAGGAATTTTTATTACCCAGAAAGTTCCTTTGTGCCCATCTTAGTCAATAACCAGATCCCATCTCTGGCTTCAGGCAACCACTAATCTTTTTTTTTTTTTTTTTTTTTTTTTTTTTTCTGTCACTAAAGATTAGATTTGTCTTTTCAGATCTTTATACAAATGCAATCATATAGTACCCTCTGGCTTCTTTTGCTGAGCATAATGTTCTTGGAATTCACCCATGTTGTATGTATTAGAAGTTACTTTTTTATTGCTGAATAATATTCTATTGTTTGAGTATACCTTAGTTTAATTAGCTATTTGGTGTGTGAAGGACATTTGAGTTATTTCCAATTTTTGACTATTATGAATAAAGCTGTCAAAAATATGCATATACAAGTCTTTGTATAGACATATGTTTTCAATTTTCTTGAATAAATATCTGGGAGTGGAATGGCTGGGTCACATAGTAAGAGCATATTCCACTCTATATGTGCTATTTTCCAAAGAAATCAAACCATTTTGTATAAGCAATGCTGTAGAGTTCCTGTTGCTCCATATCCTCATCAACACTTGATAGTGTCAGGCTTTTAAATTTTATTTACTCTAATGCATGTGGAGTGGTATCTCATTATTTTAATTTGCAATGCCCTGATAATTCATGATATTGAGCTCCAACTCATGTGCTTCTTATTTATTAATGTATCTTCTTTTGTGGAAATTCTGATCAAATCTTTGCCTATTATTTTTATTGGTTTGTTTGTCTTCCTTTTATTGAATTATAAAAATCAATAAAAGTCATAGCATATGATTTGTATATATAGTCCTTTGTTGTGTGTGTGTGTGTGTGTGCGCGCATGTGTATACATGTATATACTAATGGATAACTATAGCCAATGTCAAAATAAATGAAATAATATGTAACATTAACATATCAATTAAAAATGCTAACTCCTATTTGGAATTAAGTTTTTAAGAATAACTTCTGGGTCAGAACAATTTCTTATTACAGTGCTGTGATTTTTATTTTTTATTTTTATTTTTATTTTTTATTTAAAAAAAAGTTTTTTTTTCAACGTTTATTTATTTTTGGGACAGAGAGAGACAGAGCATGAACGGGGGAGGGGCAGAGAGAGAGGGAGACACAGAATCGGAAACAGGCTCCAGGCTCTGAGCCACCAGCCCAGAGCCCGACGCGGGGCTCGAACTCACGGACCGCGAGATCGTGACCTGGCTGAAGTCGGACGCTTAACCGACTGCGCCCCTACAGTGCTGTGATTTTTAAAAGCTAGACAGCCAGTTACTGTGCAACACTCATTTATGTCTACATATTTTGTAACTCACAGTGCAGAAGTATTACTGCAAATTCTTTCACTTCAAATTTTATCATTAACTCTCCACTGGTTACAAACTAAAGAGTTTAATTTTACTTGGCATATATCCTTCCATTCCCTTTGGTTGGCTGAAAATGCATAGCGTGGCCATGTTATACCTATAGGTGTTATATATTACAACTCACACTGTTCCCTCTTTCAGCTCTTCAGCTCAATTGATCTAGAATTACTCTGATTATCTAGCATGACCTTCTGAATTTTCACAAGGATGAAGTTCTATGTCAGAGCCTTAAAAAGATGCATTTACCATTTTAGCTACCTGTGGTCAATAGGAAGATTTATTTTCCCAAAAGTCACTTAATTCCACCATAATATCTTATTTACCTTAGGAAGAACAACAGTGTATTTCTTTGTGCTCAGCTCAGCCTGCCAGCTGAGTCCTTCTCCTATGCTCTTTCTCTTCCACATCCTCCTTCCTGTGTTTGCTTAGTGTACAAATACCAGAAACCAACCTTTCCATCTCCTGTGAATTAGAAAATATTATCACAGCCAGGGTATTGTTGAAAATTAAATTTAACAAATAAAAGTGTAGTGAAGTTTTAAATATAAATCAGACACATCCCTAGGATTTGCTTTTAACTGCACACCTTCTAAGAAATTATATTTTTACTCCCAGCAAATTACCTAGGAGAAAAAAATGACAAGAGTAATCTATTTTTTTCACAGCTGGTTGGTTGGCCAGAGTTTCTCATCAAGGAGTACATGCTGTTTGCTCCCCAGATGGACAGCCTGGATGAGCTACAAATCCACAGAGCCTGGGACACAAGGTGGAAATTATACTGCCAGTGCTTTTAATCTTGCACAGCTCTGCACACTCGAAATTGCAAGTGGCCCATTTCCAAATGAACATCTATTGGGACAATATCCTATATCTTGTCAGAATGAGTCCCATTAAATCCTCAGCTGGAATTAGACCAAAAACTTGTAATAATTATGGGAAACTTATTAAAAAGTTGAAGCCCTAGACTGTGACAGTGAAAACACTTAGGCCACATTAACAGTAATTGAAATCTCTGTATTTCTTTTCAATCAGTTCTTGTTGATGGCCAAGCAAAGAATGCCCAAATGAGAAGATGTGAAACCCAAACACCCAACTTCTAAGGGGGTAATTATCTTTTGTTTCATTACAAAATGTAGTATTGGAATGCTAGTGAACTGATCTCTTGGGAGCCAAGGCACCTGCCAGAAGGCTGTCCCTGGCTCCCATCATGAGCTTGGGTCTTGCCACTGTGTCCACCAACAGGATGCAGTCTCCTTGGGCCTGTGCTTCACATCATGGGTCTCCTTTCCTCTCTCTTCTGCCACTCTACCTTAAAAACGCACTGTTTCCCCAAGCAAGTCCTGAGTGTTAAGAACAAGAGTATTAAATAAATAGCTTTAAAACCTGGCCTAGTGAACATTTGGCTAGTAAGTTTAGGGCTTTTTTTGAAAGCAGAAAATATTAAAGTAATCTTTTCTGCATTTCAGTCACAAGGGTGAATCTACTTTCAATGTGATTCAATCTACTTTCCTCAGATGGGAAAGTTTGTAAAAGGAAAAATTTCAAGTTAGGAGACTTTTTCAACTTGTGTTTTGAGTCTCTTTTTTCAGCTTGTTTTTCAGTAATTTTTACAATGAGGAAGCAGTACACCTGATCATGTTTGGCTTCTCATTTCTGTATTGCTAGGGGTGATTTTTGGGCAACCTTAATTTTGGTTTGTTTTGACTTTTATAGCTCAGGATGACTTAAAGAGATAATTTGGACTCTTGAGAGAGGAACTATAGAGAAAAAGACCCTCAAATTTTGGGCTCATGGAGGGTATAGACCATTCTTAACAGCAAGTCTGATTTATAGAGTGTATCTAGTGAATGCAATTGTATCTACTTTTTACAGAAATTCCAATGCTCAACAAATGCTGCAAGTAGGTCAAACCTTCACTGGAAAACCAGGTTGGGTTGCAGACACCAGATGACAGGAGGGGCAGTGACAGATTGGAGTGACCCAGAGTACTGGAACAATGATGGTGAGAGACTTAAAACTAGATTTTGTGTGCAGGGGTCAAAGAGGGGAACTCTGGGGAGTCCCACTGGGGAAGACTCACTATGCATGGCTATAGAGGGCAGAGGTGTGACATGAGGGTCAAAGGAAGGACACCCAGATAGGCTGTTGTCCCAGAACAAGGAGAATAAGCTGCCAAAGATGAGAATGCATCCTATTTCTGTCGGTGTTCAGGGAAGGTCTGGGCAATCAGTTGGAATTATGGTGGAGGTGACCTATTCAAGTCTGAATGACTGAAGGAAATAGATAACTCTAGGTCCCTTCCAACTCAAATGTGCCATGGTTTTATAAGAATCCATTTATTTGTTTCAAGAGGATGAGACATATTTTGTAATTAGTATCATCCAAATGAATGCCAACACTCTATAGGAAAACCATTTTTCCTAAATACATTACAGGTTCTACTGTTATGATCTTCATAATGTTTTTTTCTTAGATCTTATGATATCAACCCTACTTTAGTTAAATTTAAATTTATCATGAATTCTAAGGTAGCTAAAATTTAAGGAATTTACTTCTGAAATGATGGATCATAATGAAGAGGATAATACTCCCCAACCACTTTAAACATTTAAAAACATAAGATATTGTATTTTGAAGGGTGGAAAGCATCTTTAGAATGGATTCAGAATTCCCTATGCAACATTTGTGATCTTTATATTTTATGTTGTGAGAGGGTAGTGACAATATTAGTACATTTTCTGTTACTTAAAATAGGCTCCTGATAGAAGACTTAAGCTCTAGAACAGAATTGGAATCTCTGTCTTTTTAGCTAATACATTATTCTTAGACTGTTAAATGATAGCTATAATAAAATGATACTTCAGGGCCCCAAAATGAGTTCTTGTGCAAAGCTACAATAGGAGAGTATTGAGTGACAACACAGAAGATCATTAACTCTATTTTCATTGAAACCAATAGCTGTAATGTATTTCCCTGTACAGTGAGCTACTGTGCCCTGGCCTGATTGTGTTCAGAGGATTGATTAATGATAACATCTTAATCTTGCCTCCCTAAGTATGGGGTGTGAAGAAGGGAGGAGGCCTGGGAAGCAGTGAAAATGGCAGAAGTGTGGACAAGAGAATTAAGGGACAGAAGATATACCATTACTTCTTACTAGACAATGTTTAGCTTATACTTTTTTTATTTAAACATTTATTTTTTTATTTTTATTTTTTAATGTAATTTATTGTCAAATTGGCTAACATACAGTGTGTAAAGTGTGCTCTTAGTTTTGGGGGTAGATTCCCGTGGTTCATCGCTTACATAAACACCCAGGGCTCATCCCAACAAGTGCCCTCCTCAATGCCCATCACCAATTTTCCCCTGTCCCCCACTCCCCCCATCTACCCTCAGTTTATTCTCTGTATTTAAGAGTCTCTTATGGTTCGCTTCCCTCCCTCTCTGTTTGTAACTATTTTTTCCCCTTCCCTTCCCCATAGTCTTCTGTTACATTTCTCAAGATCCACATGAGTGAAAACATATGATATCTTTCTCTGACTGACTTATTTCACTCAGCATAATATATTCCAGTTCCATCCACGTTGCTGCAAATGGCATGATTTCATTCTTTCTCATTGCCACGTAGTATTCCATTGTATATAAACCACATCTTTGTCCATTCATCAGTTGATGGACATTTAGGCTCTTGCCATAATTTGGCGATTGTTGAAAGCACTGCTCTAAACATTGGGGATACTTGTGCCCATATGAATCAGCACCCCTGTATCCTTTGGATAAATTCCTAGTAGTAGGATAAATTCCTAGTAGTGCTATTGCTGGGTCATAGGGTAGATCTATTTTTAATTTTTTGAGGAACCTCCACACTGTTTTCCAGAGCGGCTGCACCAGTTTGCATTCCCACCGACAGTGCAAGAGGGTTCCTGTTTATCCACATCCTCTCCAGCATCTGTAGTTTCCTGAGTTGTACATTATAGCCACTCTGACTGGCATGAAGTGATATCTGAGTGTGGTTTTGATTTGTATTTGCCTGATAATGACTGACATTGAGCTTTCATGTGTCTTTTGGCCATCTGGATGTCTTCTTGGTTCAATTGTAAATAGGATTCGTTTCCTGATTTCTCCATTTGTTCCTTCATTATTGGTGTATAGAAATGCAACTGATTTCTGTACATTAATTTTGTACCCTGTGACTTTGCTGGATTCGTGTATCGGTTTTAGCAGTCTTTTGGCAGAGTCTTTCAGGTTTTCCATGTAGAGTATCATGTCATCTGTGAAAAGTGAAAGTTTGACTTCTTTGCCAATTTTGATGCCTTTTATTTCATTTTGTTGCCTGACCGCTGATGCTAGGACTTGTAACACTATGTTAAACAACAGTGGTGAGAATGGACATCCCTGTCGTGTTCCTGATCTTAGGGGGAAAGCTCTCACTTATTCCCCATTGAGGATGATATTAGTTGTGGGCTTTTTATATATGGCTTTTATGATGTTTAAGTATATTCCTTGTATCCCAAATTTCTCGAGGGTTTTTATTAAGAAAGGATGCTGTATTTTGTCAAATGCTTTTTCTGCACCTATTGACAGGATCATGTGGTTCTTATCCTTTCTTTTATTAATGTGATGAATCACATTGATTGATTTGCAAATATTGAACCAACCCTGCAGCCCAGGAATGAATCCCACTTGATCATGGTGAATAATACTTTTTATATGCTCTTGAATTCAATTTGCTAGTATCTTGTTGAGAATTTTTGCATCCATGATCACCAGGGATATTGGCCTGTAATTCTCCTTTTTTGTGGGTCTCTGTCTGCTTTGGGAATCAAGGTAGTGTTAGCTTCATAGAATGAGCCCAGAAGTTTTCCTTCCGCTTCTATTTTTTGGAACAGCTTGAGAAGGATAGGTATTAACTCTGCTTTAAATGTCTGGTAGAATTCCCCAGGGAAGCCATCTGGCCTAAGACTCTTATTTGTTGGGAGATTTTTGATAACTGATTCAATTTCTTCAGTAGTTTTGGGTCTGCTCAAATTTTCTATTTCTTCCCATTTAAGTTTTGGTAATGTGTGGGTATCTAGGAATTTCTCCATTTCTTCCAGGTTGTCCAGTTTGTTGGCCTATAATTTTTCATAGTATTCCCTGATAATTGCTTGTATTTCTGAGGGATTAGTTGTGATAAATCCATTTTCATTCATGATTTTATCTATTTGGGTCCTCTCTGTTTTCTTTTTGAGAAGTCTGGCTAGGGGGTTGTCAATTTTATTTATTTTTTCAAAAAACCAACTCTTAGTTTCATTTATCTGGTCTACTGGTTTTTTTTTTTTTTTTTGGATTCTATGTTGTTTATTTCTGCTCTGATCATCTTTATTATTTCTCTTCTTCTGCTGGCATTGGGGTTTCTTTTGTTGTTCTGCTTCTAGTTCCTTTAGGTGTGCTGCTAAATTTTGTATTTGCCATTTTTCTAGATTCTTGAGATAGGCCTGGATTGCAACATATTTTCCTCTTAGGACTGCCTTTGCTGCATCCCAAGAGTTTGGACTGTTGTGTTTTCATTTTCATTTGTTTCCATATATTTTTAAATTTCTTCTTTAATTGCCTGGTTGACCCATTTGTTCTTTAGTAGGATGTCCTTTAACTTCCATGCATTTGGAGGTTTTCCAAACTTTTTCCAGTGGTTGATTTCAAGTTTCATAGCATTGTGATCTGAAAGTGTGCATGGTATGATATCAATTATTTTATATTTATTGAGAGCTGTTTTGTGACCTGTTTGTGATCTATCTTGGAGAATGTTCCATGTACATTCGAAAAGAATGTGTATTATGCTGCTTTAGGATGACAAATTCTGAATGTATCTGTCAAGTCCATCTGGTTCAGTGTATCATTCAGGGCCATTGTTTCTTTATTGATTTTCTGTCTAGATGATCTTTCCATTGTTGTAAGTGGAGTATTAAAGTCCCCTGCAATTATCACATCCTTACCAATAAGATTGCTTATGTTTTATATATTTGGGTGTTCCGAATTCGGTGCATAAACACTTATAATTGTTAGCTCTTCTTGATGGATAGACCCCATAATTATGATATAATGTCCTTCTTCATCTTTTGTTATAGCCTTTAGTTTAAAATCTAGTTTGTCTGATATAAGTATGGCTACTCCAGCTTTCTTTTGACTTCCAGTAGCATGATAGATGGTTCTCCATCCCCTCACTTTCAATCTGAAGGTGTCCGCAGGCCTAAAATGGGTCTCTTGTAGACAGCAAATAGATGGGTCTTGTTTTTTTTTATCCATTCTGATACCTTATGTCTTTTGATTGGAGCATTTAGTCCATTTACATTCAGTGTTATTATTGAAAGATATGGATTTAGAGTCATTGTGTTATCTGTAGGTTTCATGCTTGTAGTGATGTCTCTGGTTCTTTGTGGTCTTTGCAACATTTCACTCACAGAGTCCCTCTTAGACTCTCTTATAGGGCTGGTTTAGTGGTGATGAATTCCTTCAGTTTTTGTTTGGGAAAACTTTTATCTCTCCTTCTATTCTGAATGACAGGCTTGCTGGATAAAGGCTTGCATATTTGCTTGGCTGCATATTTTTCCTATTCAGCACGTTGAAAATTCCCTGCCACTATGTTTAGCTTATACTTAAGTTTTCTTTTCTCTATTGCTGTTATCCTCCCTGTCAGCCACCATGATGTCTTGTTTGGTTTTTGCTTGCATCATTGAAGATGCATAGGGAATAATCGCTTCTCCTAGTTCCTTCAGAGGGTAAAATTAAAAAAAAAATAGTGGTGTTTTATATTCATTTTCTATTGCTTTCTGCACAATTATCACAGGCTGTGTTTGGTTCTTGACTCAATTTCTTTTCCTAGTCTCTCAGTTATGACCAGGAAGAGAAGAGCTTCCTCTGTTGGTCTCTCCGGTGCTCTGGCCTTACTTATAACCTGGGTGAGCTCTGATTTGCCTTGACTCTTTTTTTTTTCCTTTAAAGTTTATTTATGAGAGAGAAGTGGGA